TTTATCGGGTCTCATAAACCTTTATGATATTTCCATAATCCTAAATAATAATAATGATAATTTGTTAAGCTTAAACCCAATCAAGATTCTTTAACCAGCCAAGGTAAGATGTCTGGAAGGGTGAGAAATCTGACACAAACGTACTTAAACAGGAGAACCTTTGCGATTGAAAATTATTTACACTATTTTATTTACAAATTCTTCTTATCAATCGTAATCACTTAAAAAGTCAAATTTAATATGTGAGGAATTTCCCCTAATATCAGATCAAACTAAATTCAACAAGTGATTAGATTTCTCTTTTTATTTAAAAAGTATTGAAAAATGATAAATTTGTAATTAAATGTTCTTAAATCAAATGAAACTAAACTGAACGAGTGTTTTCTTTCCCCTTGTGATCGCAACGACACGCATTATATGCCATGCGTCTTGTTGCTTTTATTCTACTTAATTCTCTTCCTCCAGCCAAAACAAAACAAAACGGGGTATATTAACATGGCGTTCAGTCTCTCTTTTCTTCTTCTTCTTCTTCTTCAAAAGTAGGAGATGTAGAAGTTCAATAATTCATCTGAAAGAAAATTCAAATTATGAGACTTTCATGTAAACTAGAATTCATACATAATATGTGTTTAGGGGATCCCTAAGTCCGTTCTCATTTTCATATTTCTATTATGCAGCATCCCTTTGTTTATTATACTTCTCCATTTTTACATCTCTTTAAATTCTACACAAAACAATTCTGTTAGATTTTTTTCCCCAAATGCGAAGGTTCTAGTCGCGTTCGTTTCAAAATGTGAAGATTTACGTAACCATCAAATCATGTCTTAATCATGTTCCTGCTCCAAACGTTGACAGTATTTTCATAAGTTTAACAAGAACACGGGAATGCGGTTCTGGTCAGGCCATGTTTTGTGTAATAGGGTACAAGCCTGTCCTTAGTGTCCATGAATATTTTTGTTTGCAGAACTGACTACATTTTGCTAAAAAAAAAAAAAAAAAAAAAAAAAAAAAACGATTCATATATATCTATACTAATATGTGTGTGTGTGTGTGTGTGTGTGTGTGTGTGTGTGTGTGTGTGTGTGTGTGTGTGTGTGTGTGTATATATATATATATTATATATATATATATATATATATATATATATATATATATATATATATATATATATATAATATATATATATATATATATATATATATATATATATATATATATTATATATATATATATATATGTCTCTCTCTCTCTCTCTCTCTCTCTCTCTCTCTCTCTCTCTCCTCTCTCTCTCTCTCTCTCTCTCTCTATATATATATATATATAATATATATATAATATATATATATATATATATATATATATATAATATATATATAATATATATATATATATATATATATATATATATATATAATATATATATATTATATATATATATATATATATACTACACACACACACACACACACACACACACACACACACACACACACACACACACACACACACACACACACACACACACACACACACACACACACACACACACACACACCACACACACACACACACAACACACACACACCACACACATTCCAGCAGCCAGCCTTGTTATCACCAATATACTCTTTTTGAAAGCTTTAAACCGATGCCGTAGATATGTGTAATTTCTAATCTAATATTTTTGGTTTGTTTAGTTTGTCAGTCACGCCACTTAATTTTCCCTTTTTTACTCCAGCCATATTATACATTCGAAATGAGATTTTTGGTCTACATGATAATAATCATATTATCAGACAATTATATACCCATGTACATATGTATGTAACCATATGATTTCCATCTTTCTATCAATCTATCACTCCATCTACCTATATATCTACCTAGCAATGTATAGGTCTAGTTATTTATTTATCTTCCTCTCCATCTATCGATATATAAAATTATCAGTAAATTTGCACGTAGGTTTTTGTGCATATGCATAACCTTTGCACTCAGGCCTATGTTTCTATATCTATCAATCTAATAATTTTCTGTACATCTGTCCAAAGATAGATGTATGCATGTATATATGTGATAGATGTATGCATTTATATATGTGATAGATGTATGTATTTACAACTATCATATGTTTTCAAATATATCAATATTTTTTGTACATCTATCAATCTATAAACACACATTTACATATATCATATAACTTTATTTTATGCATCTATTCAATTACACTATATCTGTCCATCTACAATCACACATTTACATATATACATGCATACATCTATCACATATATACATGCATACATCTATCACATATATACATGCATACATCTATCACATATATACATGCATACATCTCTATACATCTATACATCTGCAAACACACGTGTATATCTATCATATATATTTACATATATTAATTTCTCTACATCTATTCCATTTCTATACATTTATCCATCAGCAAACACACGTGCATATCCATCACATATATCTACGTACATCA